AAAATTCCTGAAAATTGCTAGAATTCCTGAAAATTGCAGAAATAGCAAAAATAGCAAAAATTCCTGAAAATTGTGAAAATTGCAAAAATTACTAAAAATTGCAAAAATCGCAAAAATTCCTGAAAATTGTGAAAATTGCAAAAATTGTGAGAATTCCTGAAAATTTGCAAAATTTCCTGAAAATTGCGAAATTTCTGAAAATTGCAGAAATTGCAAAAATTCCTGAAAATTGCAGAAATTCCTGAAGATTTCAAAAATTGCAAAAATTCCTGAGAATTGCAAAAATTGCAGAAATTGCAAAAATTCCTGAAAATTGGAACAATTCCTAAAAATTGTAAAAATTCCAAAAGTTCCTGAAAATTGGAAAAATTCCTGAAGACTGCAAAAATTGCAAAAAATCCGGAAAATTGTAAAAATTCCCTAAATTCCTGAAAATTGCGAAAATTGCAAAAATTCCTGAAAATTGCAAAAATGCCTGAAAATTGCAAAAATTGCAAAAATTCCTGAAAATTGCAGAAATAGCAAAAATTGCAAAAATTCCTGAAAATTAAAAAAAAAAATCCAAAAATCGCAAAAATTCCTGAAAATTGCAAAAGTTCCTGGAAATTGTAAAAATTTCAAAAATTCCTGAAAATTGGAAAAATTCCTGAAAAATGCAAAAATTGCAAAAAGTCCGGAAAATTTTAAAAATTCCTAAATTCCTGAAAATGGCAAAAATGGCAAAAATGCCTGAAAATGCAAAAATCGTAAAAATGCCTGAAAATTGCAAAAATTGTAAAAATTCCTGAAAATTGCAAAAATTGCTAGAATTCCTGAAAATTGCAGAAATAGCAAAAATTGCAAAAATTCCTGAAAATTAGAAAAATTTCTGAAAATTGCAGAAATCGCAAAAATACCTGAAAATTGCAAAAATTGCAAAAATTGCTGAAAATTGCAAAAACTCCTGAAAATTGTGAAAATTGCAAAAATTCCTAGGAATTGCAAAAATCGCAAAAATTCCTGAAAATTGTGAAAATTTCAAAAATTCCTAAAAATTGTAAAAATTCCTGAAAATTTGCAAAATTTCCTGAAAGTTGCAAAAATCGCAAGAATGCCTGAAAATTGCAAAAATTGCTAAAATTCCTGAAAATTGCAAAAATTCCTGAAAATTGCAGAAATAGCAAAAATTGAAAAATCCTGAAAATTAGAAAAAATTGCAAAAATCGCAAAAATTCCTGAAAATTGCAAAAATCAGAAAAATTGCATAAATTGCAAAAATTGCAAAAATTGCAAAAATTGCAAAAATTGCATAAATTTCAAAAATTTCAAAAATTGCAAAAATTGCAAAGATTGCAAAAATTTCTGGAAATTGCAAGAATCCCTGAGAATTGCAAAAATTGCAAAAATTGAAAAAATCGCAAAAATGCCTGGAGATTGCGAAAATTGCAAAAATTCCTGAAAATTGCAAAAATTGCAAAAATTTCTGAAAATTGCAGAAATTGCAAAAATTGCAAAAATTCCTGAAAATTGCAAATTGCAAAAATTCCTGAAAATTGCAAATTGCAAAAATTCCTGAAAATTGCAAAAATTGCAGAAATCGCAAAAATGCCTGAAAATTTCAAAAATTCCTGGAAGTTGCAAAAATTGCAAAAATTGCAAAAATTGCAAAAATTGCAAAAATTTCAGAAATTGCAGAAATAGCAAAAATTGCAAAAATTTCTGAAAATTGCAAAAATTCCTGAAAATTGCAAAAATTTTCAGAAATTGCAAAAATCCCTGAAAATTGGAAAAATTCCTTGAAAATCTGAAGAAAATTCACATAGACTAATTCGATGTCGAAATGAACGAATCTGTGGTGAAAATTCGTGAATTTTGGAAGATTGAGACGTAGTAGCCTACCGAAGTGCACCTATTGGCAATGGAATCGGAAAGCTGCCTTTGAGCGCCGATATCTCAAATACTATCTGTCCTATCGGGCCGATCATTGTCTCATTCGATTCAGCATGTCATTTTCTACTGAGAAATCAATAAATCGCGTGAATTCCCGCCGTTTTCTGGCACTTTCGGCCGTCCGAAGGTAGCTCGGTGACTATATCGTACTGGAGTCTCAGGTGGGGAAATGAAAATATTCATTTGGCCTATTAAAACACTGAAGAAATTCACATAGGATGTCGAAATGAACTGATCTGTGGTGGAAATTCGTGAATTTTGGAAAATTGTGACGTAGTAGCCTACCGGAGTGCACCTATTGGCGTTGAAATCGGAAAGCTGCCTGTGAGCGCCGATATCACGAAAACTATCTGTCCTATCCGGCTGATTATAGTCTCATTCATTCAGCGTGTCATTTTCTACTGGAAAAACAATAAATCGCGTGAATGAGTTGGAGTGAGACACTAGACGACTTCCTTCGTTATCGAGCCCCGCCTCCTTCGGACAGGATTTTTACTTCCCCCTTTACACCTTACATTTAGTTTGACCTTTTTCAGAGGGTAAACCCCTCCTTAATGCCTTTTACTCAGTTTCACCCGTCAGTTATAGGGTGTCTGTGTGGTGCATTTTTATAAAAGCTTGTTCAGAATGACAATGACCCAGAGCACCCTGAGCTAAACGACCTTGATTGGGGTGGATGTCTAATAATATACACATTTGAACAACGTATACAGGGTGTCTCTCCGGGAACAACATCGATCAATATACAGGGTGTTTCCTAACTACGGTTCCTAACTGCAGGGGGTGATTTGTTAGGTCATTTTAAGAAGAAAAGTTCCTATGAACATATGTCCGGAGTTGCTTCGTTTCTGAGATACAGGGCGTTAAAATTAAAGAAAAAAAACGGTAATTATAAAATATCATGAAAATTCTGGAACCGATATGGTTGAAATTTGGTACTTTTATTTGTCAAATTTCCTAAAATTTCAGCATGTCAAGTGTCAATAAAATTTTTGGCGGAAATAATGAAAAACTCATTTCTCCAATGCAGATGTTCATCATGATATACCTATGCAATACAGTGGCTTTGATTTTTTTTTTCTCGAAAACGAAGCTGAATATGAAAAAAATGCACGAGACCAAAAAGTTGTATTTTGAGTTGCTCAATCTAAACAAAATGAAAATTCACCAAAAAAAGACAGTGGCGTACTTTTTTTTCACAATATTGTTGGCTGTGGTGCCCACTGAGACGCCACTGGCCCCATTAATTTTAATATAAATAGGGCTAAATAAGCGCCATATTAGTTCAAATGAAAGTACCAAATTTCAACCAAATCGGTTCTAGGATATTCATGATATTTTATAATTACCATTTTTTTTCTTTAATTTCAACGCCCTGTATCTCAGAAACGAAGCAACTACGGACATATGTTAATAGGAACTTTTCTTCCTAAAATGACCTAACGAATCACCACCTGCAGTTAGGAACCGTAGTTAGGAAACACCCTGTATAGAAAACCATAGGTGGGCCGAATTTGAAAATTTGGTAGTTCACTATTGTTGATAAGTGCTATCCGGCTAAAATATTTTGAAGATTGTGACACTTCCGGTTGTACCGGAAGTGGACCCCAACTTCGTTATTTCAAATGGAACACCCTGTATCTTATTGCATTTATAGATTCTTACTGAAGAGCTGATTTCATCAATGCATCACGCTTGGGGTCTATCAAGAATGATTACAGAGATATAGGGTGTTCAAAATCGAGATTTTTCAATTTTAGGATTTTTTTGTGTCGAAACTATTCATTATCGATCAAAACTGCTTACATGTCCCTATCTTAACGTTCGATTCACTATCTACTGATATTTAATTGGAACAGATACAGGGTGATCAGAATTCTGAATCTTGAAGCACCCTGTATTTTTTCCAATAAAATTCCAGTAGATAGTGAATCAAAAGTTAAAATAGGGAAATGTAAGCCGTTTTGATCGATAATGAATAGTTTCGACACAAAAAAATCTTAAAATTGAAAAATCTCGATTTTGAACACTCTATATCTCTGTAATCATTCCTGATACACCCCAAGTGTGTACATTGATAAAATCAGCTCTTCAGTAAGAATCTAAAAATGCGATAAAATACAGGGTGTTCCATTTGAAATAACGAAGTTGGGGTCCACTTCCGGTACAACCGGAAGTGCCACGATCTTCAACAGTATTTAGCCGGATAGCACAGCGTGTCTAATTTCTAACGGCCCCCCTCTATATCTCAGCTATCAGTCGTGCGATCTTTACCAGATTTGTATCAGTATTAATAATCATCAATATGACCAGTTCTTCAAAGACAAACATCATTTCAGACAGTGCCGTGAATTTTCATTGAAATTAATAGGGGTCAGTTTTTTATCAAATCATATTAGGCAATTTTTCACAGGAAAACTGACCTCATAATATTGTTCTTCATGGTTCCAAACCCACATATATATGTGTATTTTCATAAGATCCCTATGAAGGGTTTCAGAAAAACAGGCACATCTAAAACAGCATTTTTTCGAACATAATAATTATTTACTCGGAAACGGTGAGTTCAACATAAAAAAGTATAACTCGTTTTTCCTTCCAAATCATGATTTTCCACCTACCGGAGCCATTGAACGTTCCAAAATTCGTAGTTGATTTGAAGTCACTATTTATTCGAGACTGAAAATGAAGAAAATGAAGCCAATCCTGTTGATTCGGAATTAGGTGATTTTTTGCATATGGAGGTTCGAAAGCATGAGGAACAATAATATGAGGTGAGATTTCCTGTAAAAAAATACCTAATATGATTTTATGAAAAATCGACTCCTTTTTAGTTCAATAAAAACGCACGGCACTGTCCAAAATAATGTGCATCTCTGTAAAACTGATCATATTGATGGTTATTCATACCACACCAAATTTGGTTGGAATCGCATGACTAATAAATGAGATATAGAGGGGGGCCGTTTAAAGTGAGACACGCTGTATATTGATCGATGCAGTTCCCGGAGGGACACCCTGTATACACAAGTAGTGGTATTTCAAAAGATTATTAAGACACCATTTCTCACCTGTAACAAACAACAAAATGTGCATAGGCTACGACGATCCAGTTATGGTGTGCCTTGATTATTTGGACCCTGAGTGGATCAGCCCAACTGGAATCTAAAAAAAAAAAAAAAATTGGTCAAGCCTGCATTCACAAATCGATAAAGAGAAAAAACTCACTCGTCATGCCGAACACTAAACCGACATCGTTCCTTATGAGTTTGTTGAGATCTGCTGATGAGTTTCTGGCGTGCCTGAGATCGAGCGAGGCTGTCCTAGAGTGACCGCGGCTGGTGAGGCCACGCAAATCTTGGGAGCTCCTGCTGTAGTTCGTTGATATGCCTAGACGAAGCTCCAACGAGGAATTCCTTGAATGACCTGCAATATCGTTTGAAACAGTGCTTTCATGAAGAACTGAACAAATTAATTCTTAGCTAAACTATCAATTTCTGAGGAATCTCCTGAAACAGGTCGATTTTTATTTTCAGTTTGCCACATTATTCTGTAAAATCAAATATACAGGGTGACATAGAAAAAAGTACATTGCATAGTGCCACACAATAGAGGACACTAAAATAAGGAAAAAAGTTCCTATGAACATGGGTCCGCAAGGCCTTCGGTTAGAAGATACGGGGTGTTGAATTTTAATTTTTTTAAGAATGGAAAAATGTATTGAAGTACAAGGGCAAAAATTTGAACATCTTCTAAAAACTTAATGTTTTGTTCTAATTAATCATATTTTTCATCATACCATTAAAATGTAATTGTTGAAGTATTTATCATTGTTTTTGCAAAAGTTACTTTGACGCTTTTTGAATAATTTGCGTGCATTGTCGGTTTTTAGATCCATTTGTACTGGAACCATTGCTTCTAGCGACTTGGACAAGGTATACCTTTCTTAAGTATAAAAGAAGGGATAACAAATTTTTTCCGTCGAAAATGACATACAGTGTATAGCAAAAAAGTTACGACCGATTCAATAGGGATGGAACCCTGTATGTAGCGCCCTCTATCAGTCATCACAAAACTAAGATTATATTTGACTTTAGCATGATAAAAAACCCCTGTATACCACATTTTATCCATTTCTTGCGTCTCTGGCTAAAGATATTCAAAGAAAACAAAAAAAAAAATTTTTAATTCAACACCCCGTATCTTTTAACCGAAGGCCTTGCGGACCCATCTTCATAGGAACTTTTTTTCTTATTTTAGTATTCTCTATTGTGTGGCACTATGCAATGTACTTTTTTATATGTCACCCTGTATACATGATGATTCACGTTGGAGTTATGACGTCCGCGACAATTTTTTCAAAACAACAATGGGCCTTTCCAGTAATGTAAAATGTTATCCTTTTTCGCTATAATGTTATGAAGGGAAGTCAAAAACGTTATCCTGACCACATATTTATCGAGAAAATCGAACAACAAATCAATTATTTAATATTGAAAATGCTTTTTTCTACAACTTGCGTGATTCACCCTATACCCGCACGAAATTTAGTTTGGGAAGTGTCATTTTCCCACAGTAGTGCGGGAAAAGTTTTCCCACACTAGTGCGGGAAAAACATTTATCTAAAATTCTCGCTACATATGAGTCACGGGAGACACAATATGAAAATTTTATATTTTTTTGTTGCAGTATTTAGTAAGTTTGTACAAAATCATCCATCAAATTGCACTTTCATTATGAAAATGAAGAAATATTAAAAAATAATAATTGATTGTTATATAAATCCGCCTATAGCCTTTAATTGATCTGACATTGTCGATCTAAATGAAAACCTAGTAGGCGACCTAGTGCGAGGAGCACTTGCCTACTAACTACCTAACTAGGTTGTCATCTAGAACGACAATGGATCTGATGTGGGAAACAATTGTTGTCATGACAATCGAAACACAAATTAGTTAGTGTAATTCTCAGAGTGACAGACAGAGCATTACTGGCATTTTCGATTTAGTGGAATTGCGATGAAAAACTTCCAGCTACAGCTATATCACGAAAAAAATTTATTTCATAATTCGATAGAGCTCACCCAAACTAGCTCACCACCGCAAACCGTTTCTTGCTGTGAGCTCCCTACGTTTTATAAAAAATTATTGAAATCCCCGATTTTTCGGACCTCTGAAAACGAGGCGATCATGTGACGTCAAAACCCTGATACTGAAACAAGACTATTCCAGACAGAGATGAATGATACATAATTTCTGACAGAGTGAATTAGCGCGAGATCACAGTTGAAAGAATTAATATATCAGTTGCCTCAGTCTCCGTCGGGCGTTTGGTATTTTCTTTTAACTATGGCGAGATGAGATTTCATAAGAGGGTCCGTTTTCAGAAGGTACTATTATTTATGTACAAAAATAAAACATTCCAGTTAATTTTTCGATCGAATTATGTCGTCAATCATTATTTATGTATAAAAGGATCATTATAAACATGGTTTGAGTTAAAAGTTCTACTAAGGTGTACACGCCCATTGCGATACAGCTGAGTTATTGCCAACGAAGTCTTAAGAAAGGTATGAGAAGCACTACACGGGATTTATTGAATGGAGCGATAGGAAAAAAGTGAAAACACCAAATAAAGAAGAAGTATTTTTGGCTTATTTCCTAGAAATGTCTGAAACCTAGAGGCCAAACACCATGGGCATGCTGGCTTCCGCAATAAGCTTACCTACATAATGCTTCAAACGACAAGGACATTAAGATGAAGCGTCTGTATAATAATCTGACGCGCACGAGTATTTCAAGGTCACGATTTTTTTTTCATTTCCATAAATTGATCATAACTTTTGGTCGCGTCCAAATCGTCAGTGAATAGGAGCTACTTGAGGGTTCACTTAACGTCCCTTCTCAATATCTGACGCGCAGGAATAATTTTTTCTTACCTATTCTCTATCCCTTCGTACGGCCACCCCCACCATGCAAACCGGCAGATTAATATTTTTCGGTTATCAGAAACACGTGGGGCGCATAAACTATCAATATCTGATGCACTAGAGTATTTCTATGTGACTGTTTTTTTTTACATTTTTGAACACCTGTAAACGCTCTCCCCACCAGTGAAAGGTCATAAATATATCATATAAACTTTGTTTCATTTTCGCATCTAATCTTCACAATCTGATACGTCCCCACGACGCTCGAGTAAATCCCTATTTAGCCTCTTTGCCTCCCCTACTATGAGTTATGATGTTATGATTTTGTTACTAATGGGGAAGTTTCCCTCAGATGAATTTTCATAAAATAAGTTCGGAACTCTCCAGTTTTATGTCCACGCTGTACAGAATGGCGACCGATAAAGTCCAAGTGGTTTTCATTTTCGAATTAAAGCAATTTCTAATTTTCGGGGCGGCAAACTGTGACGTACATTCTGAATCTAGTTTGGAAATAGCTGATGATGAAGAAAATAGCTAGCAAATAGCTAACGAATGTAAAACGAATGAAAAAAATAGAAGAAGTAAAACTGGTTAACAAAAACATACATAACCATAAATGCACTCGGAGCAGGAATGCAGAAGGTTGTTGGTTTCATTCTGACAGGTTATGGTTTTGTTATTTATGCATGGGTTGCGTGCAAGAACTGTCAGATGACCGACACTGGAGGCAAAACATTGAAACAAAACGCCACTTTTCTTATTTGTTTACAAGTGATCGAAATAGTTTTCCACAATTATTTTGGCATATGAATCGTATTTTTCCGCTATTCATCAATTCGCTCATGCCATCACATTGTGCTGTTGTAAAATGCACAAAAACTGCAGCGGAAGATGAAGGAATCCGTATGGTACATTGATTTAAAAGTAAGTACCTAACTATAGTCACTCACATATAGTTTTCATTTTTGAAACAAAACATTTCCTAATGAACTATGTGAGATTACTATTCACCTGAAAAATCATATTCCCTAGTCTCTTGCTGCATTTTTTGTGCATTGTACAACAGCACAATGCGAAGGAATGCTTGAATAACGAAAGAAACACGATTCGTATGCCAAAATATTGTGAAAAACTATTTCAACCTTTCGATTCCTCTGTAAACAAATAAAAAAGTGAGGTTGTGTTTCAATAATTCACAGAAGAGTGAGGTTGGGTTTCAATATTTTGCCTCCAGGGTCGGTCATCGTGCACGCGACCTATTGAAATATCTCGATCCTGAAGAAAAATATCATTGAATCAATTAATCAATATCGGCTACATTCAGTGATACTAGGGTCCCTTGATGCAAACTGACGTATTTGTCGTCTAACAGGGTACGGACAGACCCTCGTCTCCTCTCACTCTTAAGTGTTTGTGAAACAGTTATATAGTTCCATCCTTATTCAATTCTGGGGATAAACACTAGATTTTACACATTTGTTGTTTTTTAGGTCATTGGCGTATCATACGTTTTATATGAAATTCCTGATTCAACTATACCAAGATATTGATGATCTCGCATATTTTGCTCAATTTACCGATTTTCCTGTTCGGTCTCTTCATGTTTACTTTCCATGTTTTGAGTTTATCTTCATCTGTTGGAAAGCTTACAACTTTGAATTTGCCATCTAACTGATTGGCACAGCCTTACACAGCACATTTCGCCATTTTTTCAGAAGAGAATAGGAAAATATCGTATTCAGTAAATAATATATCCTTATTTAATCGTGAAATTTTTTCATTTTCTTGAATTTTATAATCATTGACATTCAGAAATCATTTGACACTGTCAATTTTTTTTCAATAATATATACAAAAAGTTTTAGATACGAATAATAAATATCATTACTACATGACTTGCCAAACGTTGTTTTGCTATGCACAATATTTCTAGAAACTATTCTTTCACTTAAATATTTACCCGCACACTGTATTTAATACATTTTATACTTCTTTTTAGCTCGGCTATTCATAAAAGCGTGTTCCTTTAGTTTTTCGAAATACTATTCATTTTATACTCCTTTTCAGCTCGGCAATTTATCTCTTCAGTTTTTTAAACTGTTATATATGTTCTACTTCTTCTCAATTCGACTGAGTATCTACGAACGCGTGTTTAATTGATTTTTTGAACAACTCAGATTCCAATTTTGATTTTTGAATAGAATCGGATCATAATTACGAAATTCGTTCGCCATATTCGATCCGCTATCTTGCATTTCCCAATTTTGACAGAAAATCAAAAAGTTCGACCCCGAAAACCCTCAGATACCAATCTTAAATAGAATCAGATCATAATTAGAAATTTCTTTCGATATATATTGGGTCCGTCATCTTGAATTGTCCAATTTTGACGGAACAATCATTACATGGATAATAAGTCTATGAATCATTATCTCGAACCCCGAAAACCTTCAAATTTTGAATAGAATCGGATCATAATCACAAAACTCGATCGTCATATGATCTTCCTCAACAAGTAAATACCCTGTACATACCTATTATTAAAATTTTGAATGATTTTCTGTAGCCCCCATGGATGTGACGTGACAGCAATGTCAGGGATGCCAGTAGACAAAACTAAAGTCTCTAGATCATTAAAAAAGAATGCAGCTATGATCTGTCCGTACCCTGTTAAGATGACTTCAACGTCAATTTCCATCAAGGGAACCTTAGTGATACTATCCTTCCTAATTTACTGCCATCGTTCAAAACAGAATGAAGCCGACACCCATGGCTCCTTCCTCTTGTTGTGTCATATTCTAACTCTGTGTGAATGTGGATTTTCAGAAAGTACATCATAGGAATGGCGGAGGAGCCAAGTTCCTTTTTTATTTATTTTTTTCTGAAGTGAACTTTGATCTTACGAAAAAAACTTCACAGTGAGATGAAAACCTCAATATGGGAAACTTCCCCATTGTTATAACCAACAAATCAAACAGTGTTACTACATCTCAAATACTCATTCACGAAAAATTTGATTGCTAATGTGTATATTACCAAGAGAAAAAGATGAAGCAACTGGCGCTAACACAGTGTTGCCAAGTTAAAGTACCTCATTCTCTGCACATAACTTCATTGTTCTCATTTCTCAATATTATTGACAAGACAGTGATGCTTGTACTAAAATCAATGGAAAATAGAACCAAGTAAGCAATTTAGTAGTGATTGATTCAAAATTTGTTCCTTTTCCTATGCTAGGTAGGTATAGGTAGGTACATATACAGTGTGTCCCCCTTAAGGACTCGCCACCCCTGTAAAATAGATATTATCTGACCTTGGCAAAAACTTTTGTTGTTGTATAGGTTGAAATGTCTATCCAACAAAAGAGTGATTTTATATTTGGACTGTTATCATGACCAACTGTGACCAACATTATTGACCCATCTTCCAGAAAGTACTATGAGGGTTTTTTTCACAAAAAATAATGGTGGATTCTGAATCCTGATCATTTGAATCCTACCTGTATCGATTTTCATCATCATAAAATACAGGGTGTCCGAAAAAACTAATAATATATATTTTTTTAATAGGTGATCAGAGAATTTAGTAATGTGGAATTTTTTGAAAGAACTAAAGACACATCATTATTGAGGATTACTTCAAGCATATCTGTATCAATTTTCAGCATTTTAATATACAATATGGTAAAAAGGATGAGTATGCAATATTTTTTATAATGATAATTCTTCATACAGAAAATAAAGATGAATCTGAATAAGATCACTTGAAACACACACAGGATGTCCCAAATAGAAATTGATTTTCAACAGCATCTGTATCAATTATTGCTGAAATGAAAAAATCGAGAAATGAGTTTCCAAAGAATCATATTAAAAACACTAGCAGTTATGTGAACAAACTATTGGTACACACGCAAATTGAAAAAATGTATAGTGTACCATCATGGAAATGTAAAATGAACTGTTTTCACCTTGGTAATATATAAAATTTGAAGCTTTCTGTCCAAATTGGGATCATTGTCCAGTCCATTGTGCATTTTATTGGCACCAGGTGAGAAGGGAGAGAAGGTGAGAGCAACAACAATCATGTTGATCATTTGAATTAGCTTGTTCATTTTGGCATTTTCAATAATTTTTAATATGATGGATTGATGAAAAAAATCTCAAAAAATTAATTGAAGGTATTCCAGAACCATATACTTCCAGATTTTTTTTTTTCTAGGAATGACTGGAAAGGCTCATTCTTCAATATAATTATCATATGAGTTTTAAAAAGTCATATAAAGTTTTTATATTCATTCAAGTAATCAAATGCAGTATAACAATGAGTTGTATGGAATGATTTCATTATGAAATATTGATTGCTTGCCCCAATACTATTTCATGGGAATAACAAAGTTGATTGATTGATATTAATTTTCTAATTAAATCAGATATTGGTAAAAAATCCATCTATCACAATGGAATGATACAATACAATTCACTACCAAATAACTTGAAGCTGATTAATAGGATTGAAAAATTCAAAAGAGAATTCAAGAAACATCTACTCCTGTAATATTGACATTTTATCTCATTTTTATAGTTTTCTTGTACAAGTACTATAGTTTTCAATTGGGTACCTAACAGCTGAGTCAATTGAGAATCATTTTCAGTTGAACTTGAAAAAAAAAAAGATTCTTTTCGAGTATGAGTCTTATTTTACTGTCTTCTTTATTTTATTTTGTCAAATATATTTATGTATTCACTATGTTCCCTGCTATAAACAAATGTTGTTTCTTGGGAATAATAAAGTTGATTGATTGAATTTGAAAAAAATGTATTCCATGATTCAAAATTTCATATACCTTATAAAAATTCAAGTGATATTTTCAATTCATTACTGACAAAATCAAATGAATGAATCAATCTCTAGGTTAGTATTGATTTATAGTAACTTGTAAAAGAGTGTAGAGAAATGTAGGAGTTATTATTTGTTCCATTTTGTTGATTGTTCTCAAATCTATTAGTGCCTTCACACATAAAATATTTGTACTTCATCAATTATACATTGAAAATACATAAGAATAAGTTTAATGAATAATTGAAATCAAGATTGCAACTATAACAATAATTGCAATTGGGAAAGTACATTAATACCAACCTTATGAGAGCCCTATGGAATTAATTTCATCAATAGTTATTATGCACACAAAAAATATCACCCATTTATATAAATGGTAAAACATATCACTCACATAATACCTACTGAAAGAACAAATTATCATCCTTCTACTGAAATTATCAAGAAAATTATGAAAAACAGACAATACCAGGAAGTAATCAAAAGAAGTCCAGCAAGTTAGGATAAGAAATACTTCCATCACTTTTGGAGGATCAGAAAGGTATATATAAATAAAAATATAAAAGATTAGGTTGTGTTACCTTGGGGCCTATTTTGTACAAATCCAGGAGGCACTGTAACCAGACTGTTTGTCTGCACAGGCCCATTATCACAGTGATCAGCCCCCCCAGTGCTAGTGGAAGGCTTGCTGGAGTCTACCTGCCCCTCAGCTACCCTAACATTCGAAGTTGTCTTAGACTGATGAACAGCTGTGGTCTCAACATGGGACTGAGACACCACATTGGGGTCCTGAACAGGAATATCTAGGAAATATTTTCACATTATTGTAAATTCAGTACTAGTACTAGACACTGAGTACTTACAAGGTGGTGGTAAATATCCATAAAATAATACATCCCCACATGTAGACTGAGTCAATTCTTCACATAACATCAATCTCCTGACCAAAGGTGCAATATTATAGTATTCAGCCTCATGTCTGAGAGTTTTTATGTCAACTCCTTTGAGTTCTACTTCCCTAGTCCGCAGATAGTTCAATATCACTGAAAACACTGTTGGGTCCCTATCAATGAATATTGCCCCTTTCTCATCTCTCAAGCTTGAAATCCTTCCGCTCAAAAGTGCACTGAAGAATGTATCCGGAATCAATGTGAGTGTTTGACGAGAAGTCGAGAATCTAGAAAATTAAAAAATATACGAAATTTCTCTAGTAGACGATTCGATTGTATACCTTTTTCCTCCAACATTCAGGTGAAGAATGTCACCAAAATGAGCAGGTTGCTGGAAAGACATTTTCAACAAGTAGAACAGTTGCAACTGCTACCGTAGGTTTTTATTATTATTTAGAAAGTTCATTTTAATACTTTAATAATAATAAACTATATTTCTTTCCTCCGTCAATATTTTTATATTTTGACAAGTGATAACTTGATAAGTGACTTAAGTGATCGACTGATCGGTGACATGACAAATTGACAGTGACATCTCTGACATATGACATTTGACAATCAAATAGTTTGACACTGGTGATTGATGAATTATGACAATAACCTTGTTTTATGACTGACGAGTCTTGTGCATGGTGTGCATGTGTTGAAGAAAGATAGAGACAGCCCATAGATGATGCATCTATCTAAGATGCCTAGAGACTGGTGTAACGAGTCCCCTATTCCATATTATTCCCAAAACCTGTACGACGAAATCGGCAACCAGCCACCTTGATGGCAAGCGAGAAGAAGATTTCTGAAACCGCCACGAGTAGCGCTGCTTCTCATGTCCAGCAGGCACAAAATACAGAGTTGCCGGTTGGCAAAAAAATTACCTAAATCCAAGATTTATTCTTCATAATTTTCACATTACTAGAAAATCTGCTATATACAAAGAGAAGAAATTGTCAATGACACATGATGGAAAAACGGATTTATAACTTTGACTTGTTTTTTATTATATTCCATTCAGGCGTGATGGAGTATTTTGAAGTATCATAATTTTCGCAATGTCAGTCATTTCTATCTGATGGAATAAGATGTTATACGCAAATCACGATACATTTTATGATGTAATTACTATCTAGGCCGCTATATGCCATATTCCAGAACCCGAAAGTCTCGAGTGAATTGCTCGCCAAAAATCGCTTCTTGGTCAATTCGTATAGGAACATCTAAACTGTCGTTCATGAAAAAGGGCGTTGTCATTCTTCTTGGTGTTGAAAATCATATGAGTAAGAGTAAGTAGTCAGACACATGATCGGTCCTAAATGCACATGTTTCATGTTTTCCAGTCAAATTTCGTGAGAGGCACAGCTTATAGTTGCGCTTTATTTGTACCATTCTGTTAGCGGTGGCGGGAACTGAATGACGTTTACAAATAAAACGAGAAACTTCATGGCATCATTTTCATGACCTTGCATGAGAGAATTGACATATAATGATAAGAATAGAATATAAAGGATTTATTCATATATTTGTGGTAATGGGAGAAACTTCTCTGAGATCAAGAGAATTCATTTAATCTGGGAATAAACATATGGAACCAGACTTACTTTAAAGAATCGTATACTTGTGAACCTTACGATAAGAATGTCTTCTTAAAGTCTTCTACCTTCCAAATGTTTCGTTTTTCGTTTATTCAATACGATTTTTTGACAAATGTCAACAGTCATTCCGCATCATTCGTTGTAGTCAAACGAAATGAAAAGTAGCAAACGGAATCGGAAAAGTTGCAAATAAAACGACACATTGAAGTGATTCCGGTGGCCGAATCGGACAAATGAAATTATATTTTATGGTCCTACTAGTGATCTAGATATTAATAGTTTATGTCAGTGTAATTAATGATTGGCACTTCTGTGAAAATGGTAGGTACCTTCAACAATAACGGCCCTGTATCCAGCTCCATGACATAAAACAATAGAAAATGTATGGATGAAACAGGCAAGTAATCATAATAGCAAGATTTCAACCATTTAATAGTAAAGAACAGAATTTGAGAGTAATCTTCTTAATAATGATTCAACCAACTGAGGTGATCCATCTTACAGTGGAGTGTAGGCAATAGGACAGGAGAAATTCATACAGTCTACTCCACCAAAACGATACTTTAATGTAATATCAATTCAAAGGGGGGACATGTTTCGAAGCTTCAAAGCTTCATCATCAGCTTTCCTATGTAACTATTAAAGCTGATGATGAAGCTTTGAAGCTTCGAAACATGTCCCCCCTTTGAATTGATATTACATTAAAGTATCGTTTTGGTGGAGTAGACTGTATGAATTTCTCCTGTCCTATTAATAATGATTGTCTCGTCCCACAGAACTTAGCCTAGTTCTGTGAAAATGCTCATGCTTCTGATAATTTCGGATTCAGACTGTTTATTTTTTGCAAACCAAGTGAATTTTACGATTTTGCACCAGTTGATTGAAGCAGATTCATGCTCTTGCATCATAATATTGATGAAATACTAACAAGACTGTGAATGCTGTGTCTCACGGTCCAACAATTCGATCAAACTACAGATCTGTGATGTCATCAGTGACGTCAATTCAAACAGCAGCGGAAATTGAGAATTTGTTCTAAATATTTGTCATGTTGAATCAAACAATAAGGTTAGGATGTTTGTTTTCATGGTTCCTTCATTGATAATCATTTTATATCTTGGGAATCAACAAGAAATACTATCATTAATATTATCAATACTTCTGAAATGCATGTCCTGGTAATTGGACTGAGGACCACTTCGGATAATTATAAGAATATTTTCGTCTTGCTTCAATACCCTTTTTTTTTTATTTTTTTTTTCAATTGCATACCTCGTTGGTCCCAGCAATGGGACCAAACGCCCCATAAGTCGAAACTTGTGCGGGGTTAGGTATACATACAAACACAAACATCCATGGCCTAACTAGGATTCGAACCTATGTCTCAGGTGGGAGTCCCCATACGAACTCAGCGCCTTCACGCTCTCGACCACCGAGCCGCCCTTGGTTGATTAGATACTTTGTTATGATCTCAGCTCATTTCTGGAGGTATACGTACACGCGCATATATATGGATTGATAAAAATCTGAAACATCTCTCATCCATCTTTAGGTAGTCTTGAAATTAACTATGGAATATCTTCCAGTCTGACTGACAATCAGGACTCCTCTTCGACTATTTCTTCTTCGAAGCCATTATATCTTATTGTATTATATCTCCCTCTTTTTTTAAAATCACTTCGCATCACAAATACAACACAAAATACTCACCATAGAATGAGTTTTTGTTTAATTTTTCCTTGTGATTCTTCCTATTTCAGAGAACCTACTTAGCCAATATTTTTGTTCAAAAATCTACAGATCGTGTGACGATTTCTTGACATTTCAAACGATTTGAGTCAAACAGGCAAGAATGACGTCACCTTGAACAAATTTGATCAAATTGTTGGATCGTGATCGAGACACGACCTTTACAAACAAAATAGGGTCACGATTTTTCCTCTGCATGAAATTACCATAAAAGTACAACTGGCAACGCTGGTTTGGTTTGACCTGGAAACGATGACATTCCAAAATGGCGGTTTCGGCCTTTTCGGGTTTTGTTTATAATTTGTTCTCTCGAATATCTAGGTATAGATAATTTGGTCCTATTTTAACTTGAATGAATTAATATAAAAGAACTTGAAAGTGTTCATGAGTGTTTTTCGTTTGTGAAGTGAATTTTGCGACTACAAAATGGATTCATTATACAACTGAACACCACTCACAAGCCAGGACTGCCAGGCCAGGAGGAAACAGTTTCAAATGTAGAATGTAGTTCACGTAAGTAAAATTTGTTCATACCTCAGATGTCCATACCATGACTGATCGAAAAGTGATGCAAGATGCAATAATTATCTGGCTTGAATTAATTGCTTGCACAGTTTACACATAAATACCTACAATGTGAAAATCCAAAACCTAATATATCTGTGGCACATTATTCTGTAATCTGTATTATTTGGAATAGGCCTGTAATGATTATTTCATCAAATTGGAATGTTGGATATTCAATAACATTTTTTGTCTAGTACTTATCTTGTTTCTTTTACTCACTTTTGTCCTGATCTGTGCTATTTGAAATTATCTTGTGGATTCTAAGCATATGTAGAAAACTTGAATAGATTTTCTCATAAATTATTTTATTGGATGAAATATTGCATGCAAAGTTGAATGTCTTTATTTTCAGGTTATTTTGGAGACATTCAATGAGGAGGAGAAAGTTGAAACACCTCTACTCACATTGATCACTGCAATTGGGAGCCCTGAGTATTCAAGTGATATTATGCACTCAAAGATTACCATAGCCTGGATTTACCCTTCAAAAATCTCCATCATGAAAAAATATCTTGGAACCTATGCCTCTTGGCCTGCATAATGCTGAAACACTATCTGAAACATGTCTACCAGAGCAGGGTCTCACAGAGTATTTTCCTGTTTTTTTGGCATGATACTGCCATGATCAACACAACCAATGAACTCCAGACTATTTTAGGGTATAGGTATGTATGTAACTTTTTATATTTTTAGCTAATAATTTTCCTTGCATGTCTGGTTCTTTATTTTTTCTGTACCCTCCTCCTCTGTAGGACAGTTTCTCTTGTTTTGTCATCATGAAATTTTGTAAACAGTGTTTTTTCTGTGACATCTTGATTTATACAAAAATATTTTACTCATGAAAATCATGGAAACTTCTTTGATTTTTCCTTGACCCTACTACAGTGTAGTCTCAATTACCACAAAAATTAACTCAACTCATGAATATACATGATTATAGTGCCTTCTAGGAGACCTACAAACTTTCTCCTGTATATTTATGACTAGGTAATAGAAAATTAGATTATTTATCCTTGGATTTGTCCTCCAAAAATACCTAGTATCTGTAAGATAGTACAATCTAGAGAGGCTAGGAACAAAAATCAAAAATATCTAGGTTATCTGATCATTTTTGCTCCTCTGGTACCATGGTGATGAACATCTGAATGGGTTGTTAATATTGGAGATTTTTTGTGAATTCCATTGACCCTGTGAAGAGTGACAGGAGAGTGAAGATTTTGAGTTCATTTAAAAGATGTCTGCAAGATTCTCTATAATTTTCATCAAATTCTGTTACTCAAGCATTTTTCATTGGTGATTACACTCAACCATTTTTTTTTTTTTGGTCAAAGTAAACTTGACATTTTTTATACTTTTTGTTTGGTTTCCTTCAGAAAATCCAACTCATAAAACTGACAGAAAACTCCTAATCTTCCTGAAAACATTATTATTCTTTAATTTTCAGGAAATAAAATTCTCATCTAAATGTCAAGTTCAGTTTGACAAAAAAAGGTCTTTATAAGTGAAAACGAGAAGATTTAGTATCCAAAAATACCCAGTCTGACAGAGTTTATCAAAAACCATGAGTGAAGGGAGCAAGGAAAAGAAGTTGAAAACTTGATGTTGTTTGATGGTGTAAATAGACAGTTAGTTATCCAGATCACGTGTCCACCATTGGTAACTGTCATTATTGAAGATACAAAATCATTCAAATTTTGCAAACTTGCAGTATTTTTAACACACTCCAAGATCGAAGGACAAAAAAAAACAATAATTGAGCATCTCTGTTTTTTTAAGTTTGAATGGAAAATACAATTTTTCACATGGAACCTTTTTTTTGTTATTATTCAAGTTTTAGAAAAAAATATGAAAAAAGTGTTTTCAAGAAGAAAGTACTGATAATAATGGTGATTGTGGTAGTACTTTTGCACTCATTAAGAGGAAAACAGATTATACCATTACCTAACATAATTTTTTCTGTTGTAGAATTGTGCATTAATGTTTAGCTGAAGATGACTAGCAACAAGGGCCCATGGGGATCTACTTTTGTCTGACAGGATGAGCCTCCCCACAATATTACTACTAGCTGAAGATGAGCCCATATAGGTCAAAACATGAACTATATCCAATTGATGAGTTTTGTGGAGACAACCTTGTGTTTTCTTCCTTTGTTGAATTGATCACTCCACTGAGATACCAATTACTTATGGACTCTACTGTGAAATAGATATCCTATTTATGATCTGCTATTTTCATATCTTCAAGGTTTCAGTTTGGTATTTGTACTCCTTGATATTCTAACAATGAATTTGAGATGATTTAAATTTTTTTCATTAAAATGAGTGACAACATTGTTTCTTTTTTTACTACTTGCCACACACCACACACATCTACATACAGTAGGTAACATAAATTTCTACTTGTCTCCAAGTAGTTCAACTAAATACTTTTGATTTGCCTGATAAGCATTATCATTATCTTTTTAGTTTTTATTTTTGACATATTTCAGAAAGATATCACCTGTCCTATATGCAGGGTGTTTCAAAATTCAGTATTGAGATATCAGAGGAATATCTTTCAGATCAAGATAATACTTTTTTCTATAAACATGTGTCACAAACTCTTCCTTTCCGATCTACAGAGTTGAAATTTCAAGATTTACTTTTAGTTTTCCAGATATTCAGATCAAATTTAGAACAATAGGTTAAATCTAGGTTATGTTTCAGGATTATTCACATCATACAGTATCTCAAGTGATTGTAAGAATCTATAGGGAAATATTTTTTGAGGAGTAAAACTTTTTCGCATCATAAACTCTTTCTGGATGCGCCACTGGTAGATTTTCAACTAAGAAATTGGTTTGTTTATATAGTTCACAATGAAAACGAAAAATACTGGAATGAATTGAATTTCAACACTCTTATTAGTCTTATTTCAACCTGAAAAATAAGTTCCTGAAATCTCCATAGTGAATTTTGAAACATTCAGTTTATTTGCTTCATGCTTTCTAAGTGAACAATGAGAATTCAAAAACATTGTTAAAAATTACAAGAATAGATTCATTTTGCTTGATTATAATTCACCATCAAATGCAATCTTTCCTGAAATCATCAGATAAAACATTGAGCACATGAAATTTTGAGAGAGTACCTACCTCAATATTCTATCCGAACCACAAAACACTGATAAAACTGCTACTTGAAAAACATTGAACCACACTTTGGCACAATTAAAATAATCATATATTTTTTCAACTGTGCTTCCGAATGGAAATAATGTAAAAGTTAAAATAAAATAATAAAAATATTGACATCTTCACATTTCATTCGAAGATCCAGTTAGCACTCAGCTCAGCAGTGAGCTCTGACACCACAGACCACCCAGGGTGGTCTGTGTTAGTGTGTTTGACTCTGACCTGCTGACCAGCTGACGCTGAGGAATTTCACGATCACAAATCGTGGGTATTTCACGGAACTAAAACACTGTGTTTTAGTTCTGTGGGGGTAATTTCGTGTTTTCAACAGAATGGCAGAATTCAGAATTTTTATTTATTGATTTCAAGGTTGGTAGAACTGATGACTATTTTGTAGAGGAAGGTTGCCTCGATCACACCCCTCGAGTGACCTTGAGTAACTCATGACGTAATAGGCCCTTTCTTTTGCACGAAAAGTGTAGCACTCTCGTACACTTCGTGTATGATATGTACGCCGGCGATTGGCCGGCGCATGTATTGAGTTGACAGTTGTCAGTATTTTCGAATATTTGAACCATTTTGAACTTAAAAATGTAAAAATGATAATTTGTTCGGTCACTTCTTGTTAAAATTCGTACAAGTGTAATGAGACTAGTGAATTTAGTTTGTGTTTCCATTATTAATTTCCATAAGATGAGTCTATTCGTGAGAAATATGGATTCAATTTTGTGGATGTAATTTTAATTCAATTTAATACCAAAACTTGGCGAATATGTTCTGCCCATTTCGATGCCGAGGATTTTGAACGGCACAAGCAGAATTGCTAAATCACACACCAAAGAGATGAAAATTCAAGGTAGGAATCCCATCAATAATACCAAATACAACAAGAGGAACACCATAAGTATTCAAGTTTGGAAAAATGATCAGAACCAGACCAGTTGTGAATATTGAGATTCTTGCTGAACGGGTAAAATGGACATCAGAAGATATCACACGTGTTTTCAAGTTGAGATATTTGAGCAAGAGTACGTTACCCAACGAAGAGGAGCTATGTTTATTTGAGAGATTCCTTGAACTATCCTTCATTATAGGTTCACTTATAATAGTAGTGTTATTTTTCATTAATTTTGTTCAGAATCATATTTTGTTATTTTTTTATGCTCAAATACTTCGATCAATTGCTCTGTTTTTGACTACAATATAATCAAACAATGAAATACTATTTCCTCTTGTATTTTCTATAGGTATATCTAGGAAAGTTTGTCAATTTTTCAGAATACAGAGTTATATTGATAAAATAAGTGATCTGTTGTGTACGAATATTGGTCCACTGCTACTACTTCTGGATCATCAGTTGATTATTCTTATATTTTCTGTAGTTTCTTGTTCACATTATCTGATTCGCAGGATATTTATAGGATGAGTATTGAGTAGGTTCATAATCAATGCATAAGTAATCACTAGCTCCATAATTATGCTCCATACCTAAAAACACACATACCTGGTACCACGACCTGGTAAATAGCCCCTGGAACAAAATTTCAGATAGGTATTCCTCTCTGTACTACTGATCCATCCAAAATTGCCTTCTCATTTCGAAGATTGAAGGTATTATACAGAAGTATATGTAAATATCCATATTTTATAATGGTACTTACTTATAATTATATAATATAAATTGATATAAATATGCTGAGCAGACCAAAAAGTTTGTATCATGTTTGTATACTCTATTTGGTAAACATTTCATGACATGTCGCTTTAAGGTTGACAACTTGTCACTGCTGTGACGTCACGAGTGACCGTTTCCCCCCTTGCCGCACTATCGATCGAGGCAACCTTCCTCTACAAAATAGTCATCAGTTCTACCAACCTTGATTGATTACGATCGTGGCGCCATCTCTCAATGAAAGGTGAGAAGTGTTACTCTCGTTCTGAATCGTTGTACACTTTTGTTACAAAAACAGTTGAAGAGTCGCTCCACCAGTCAACTTATAAACATCTCACATCTATCATAGATGAATCATAATAATAATAATAATAAATTGTCTTTATTTATATCATTACGATACAAAAAGGCGGAATTCAGCCGCTGCACATCATGTAGATGTCAGAGACTGCTCTTCCATTCCTGTGTCCTTAGGTCATGCCACAGATTAAGGTCATGCTGTGTCTATGAGATGTTTCTGATTATCGTAAAATGTCAAGTGTTCGAGGCACTCTAAACCTGTCAAAATCAATTTTGCCAACCTCCGAGTACACTAAACAAAAATTCAAATATTAATCTAATGTAATTTTTTCCTCGGATCTTTCAATAAAAAAGAGATTGCAAAATGCAATAATTGAATCAAACACATCATTAATTCGATGTTTGAATTGCAGAAACTGGATTCACAAATTTTCATCTCCTGGCGATGAGTCATCCGATCAGGGAAATTCCTTGTAATCATATTGCCAACACTGATGCCACTGATATGGTGACAACTCGAAAAACCCAACCTAAACATGGCGTCCGACGGGGAAGAAGTAATTACGGACCAAGAAAAAGTGAAAATAGTATCAGATTTTATCCTCCATTCCCCTCCTGGCGAATTCAATGAAGTGTTCAACGATGTGCGAAAACTGCTCAACAACGACGACCTTTTGAAGGATGGCGCCAGCGGGGCATTCGCCCAGTACAACAAAGATCAACTAACCCCCGTTAAAATAGAAAACGCCGACCATTTGGTGCTTATCACGGAATACAACGACTTGGGAAACAATAGGTTTTTCGACCCCAGAAGCAAGCAGAGCTTCAAGTACGACCACCTGAGGAAAGAAGCCTCCGAATATCAGCCATACACCCCCGACCCCACTGCGGAGCCCTGGCGGTTGGCCCTGGACGCCGAGTTCATCCAGTATGCGAGGAACCACTATAAAGACGGAGTGTGCAGTGTGGTGGGAAGAAACCAAGGGGGAAGTGTTGTTCTCACAGCATGCATTGAAGACCACCAATTCCAGCCCAAAAACTTCTGGAATGGGAGGTGGCGATCCCAGTGGTCGATATCCATGAATGGGGGCACAATGGCAGAGGTGAGAGGCATTCTCAAAGTGCAAGTGCATTATTATGAAGAAGGCAATGTTCAGTTAGTTAGCACCAAGGAAATCAAGGAATCTGTAGCAGCTTCTTCAGAGGTACAAACAGCTAAAGATATAGTGCAGGTCATTGAAACTGCTGAGAATTTGTATCAGACAGCCATCTCTGAGAACTACCAGACCATGTCTGACACCACTTTTAAGGCTCTAAGGAGATTACTGCCTGTCACCAGAACGAAGATTGATTGGAATAAGATTGTGTCATATAGTATTGGCAAAGAACTGAAAACACAATGATTAGAGGTGGAGTTTTGATGAATTGGATGGCTACTCTGTGCATCTTGTTGCTTAGGATGTTTTTGTAAATATCAGTCTGATCTTTGTTAAGTTTTCTCAGCAGGGATAGCCAGGTCAGAGTAATTTTATGAGAAGGCTTCTTCATTCACTATCACACCAAGAAAAGTGTTTCCTTCTATGCTAATTTGGAAACTGAACTTTTTTATGCTTTTTTGATAATTTTATTCATTGTATTGATATCATTATTATTATATTATCATTTTTTAACAAAACTCTAATATGAGGATGTAGAAAATTCTTCATAATAATATAATATGTTTATTTTGTTCCTATTGGAATTTTTTGTTGTCTTCTAGATCAGATGGAATATACAGGTAGTTGATTTCTTGTAGTGGGGCAAACCTCCTGGGTTTTTTCTCCTGTACTTTTATCTCTCAAAAATCAGTATTGGAAACAATTGGGAAGAATCATGTAAGTATACATTTTCATCAGAAATATGTCTATAGACAACAATAATGTAATGTCATGTTGCTTTTCATTATAGCTAGCCAAAAATGTGTAGGGAACCACAAAAGATCTATCATTTCTGATATTACTTAGTGGAACTATTTCAAAAACTGATTGTTCAAATATTATATTCTTTTTCAAAATGAATCAGTCAAGAAACTAACATTTTCTGCCAACACCTGATGAGTCAATAATTTGGGAGTAGATTAATTTCCATTTCTGTGCATAATTTTATAGCATTTTAGTCCCCAAAGGTATTATTATTTTTAAATTTCATAATGGTGTCTATCCCTGGTTTATGGAAATAGTGCAATAAAAAACATTGTACTGTACCAAGGGCTTTATTTTTTTAATCAACATTCTACTATTGAGTAATTTCTATATATCTTTTTTTTATTATTATTTTGTGGCTATTGTCAGAGATTATACACCAATAATTGAAATTTTATCTTGATTGTGTATTTGCTGAATTGTGAAACATGGTATATTCTAATCAGTTTACTGAAAAATAAAAACAGTTCACTCTAGTTGATAACAAATACATTGTGGCTTTGACATTTTGTTGAATATTTTTATTTGATAAAAATATTTCACACTATTTATTTTCTGTTCAATGGATATTCAAAGTTGGGATGTATTGGTGGTACAGTGCATTTCATGAAAAACATTGCTTATCCATGGTATAATCAAAATGTGAGGTACCAAAAACACAGTAAGATGATCTGTTATTTTTATGAACAGCATTGTACACATATGGTTTTTTTTCAAATGATATATGGAAAATATTGTCACTGATCAAATTGCTGCCCTAAAATATTGAAATAATTTATATATCTTGTTAGAGCCAATTGTTGTATGGGTTATTTTTAAATAAAAAAGTTGAGTAACTTAACCATCTCCTTTAACTTGTGTCATACAAAAATACACATACCTGGTCCACTCAAAATGCTCAATGTTATATGAAAAATTGAACTTTGATATTATAATAATTTATTATCTTTTCAACTCAATTAATAATGAACGAATGAATGAGCATTTGAATTTTACAAGATATAGGGGGTTAAAAAATTATGACAAATACAGGATGTCTGCTAAAAGGAGGTCAATCCATTAACCATATATTCCTTGAATTAAAACAATATGAGTTTCTAAATACCATTTTTCATTTTAGCCCTTCATATTCGATATACAGGGTGTCAAAGTTGGAAATTAAAAACTCTTTTTTTTTAGTTACTCGCGTATTTAATAAGATATTGATCTCAAAATTGGTACATCAGTTTAGCACAAAGACTTACATCATGTGAGGAGAACAAAACAGAAAATAACTGTCAAATATTCAAAATACCGGGGGTCAAGTACACACTTACCCCCATATTTTTTTTGTATGTGCGCTAATGACTTCCTATCTATTTTTCTTCAAGTGTTCAATCATTTTTGAGTATTTTTTGTTTCCTGTAAAATTTTGATAAAATTATTTGTTTTTAAGATAATTCAAAAAGTACTGGTTATTGTGTTATTGTTAGATGCCTATGGGGCTCCTATTTATTTCGTCGAAATTGGAAGAGGGCGTAACTTTTTACGTAGGAAAAGGTGAATATGGAAATACCGGGTGCTCAGAGCGAATGTATTAAAATAATTTTTACAACAAAAAAAATGTGAGAACATGTCGAATAAAATTTTTTGCCAATCGAACGGCGTGGTCAAATAAAAAAACGTTTTTTGGAATTTCGGGTAAATAATGATTTTAGGAGGATGGGGGAGTCGATTGACGAGCCCACCCTTTTAAAGAATTATTAAATTGATTTTTTTCGAGAACAGCAAATTTTTTAAAATCGGTTTGAGCGGTTTTGGGGGGTGCGGATTTTTAAAAAATATTTTCGAGCCCCCCCGTATGGTTTGTCGGGCGCGAACGAACGGGAAATAAAATCGAAGAAAATTAAAAAAATATATTTTCGGAAATTTTTGGTGAAATTATGATATCCATGATTTAAATAGCTACTTGATGAAAGAAATAGCAGATCAGGATTGTCTGTGGATCTATGAAAGATTTTGTCTATAAGCCACATATTTTTCAAAGGCTAAGATTTTCTTTAATTAAAAGGGCTTGCATGTGTATTAAAAAAATTGGAGGTCATTTAGACGTGTTGAATTTTCATCATTTTTTTTTTTTTTTAAATTATTTCAATACATTCGCTCTGAGCACCCGGTATTTCCATATTTACCTTTTCGTACGTGAGAAGTTACGCCCTCTTCCAATTTCGACGAAATAAATAGGAGTATGTGAACATTATGAGATTACCGTAAGCCGCATAGGCATCAAACAATAACCAGTACTTTTCGAATTATCTTAAAAACAAATGATTTTATCGAAATTTTACAAGAGACAAAAAATACTCAAAAATGATTGAACACTTAAAGAAAAATAGATAGGAAGTCATTAGCGCACGTAAAAAAAAAATATGGGGGTAAGTGTGTACTTGACCCCCAGTATTTTGAATATTTGACAGTAATTTTCTGTTTTGTTTTCCTCACACGATGTAACTCGTTCTGCTGAAGTAATGTACCAGTTTTGAGATTGATATCTTATTAAATACGCGAGTAATTATAAAAAAACAGTTTTTAATTTCCAACTTTGACACCCTGTATATCGAATATGAAGGGCTAAAATGAAAAATGGTATTTAGAAACTCATATTGCTTTAATTCAAGGAATATATGGTTAATGGATTGACCTCCTTTTAGCGGACACCCTGTATGTAGGTGGTACACTTTTATTATTCTTAAAATATGTCATAACAAAATATTTCAATGCATAATTATTTAAAGCCTCCTTGAATTATATTCAACTAGAGGTAGGTACCTTTATAACACAGAATCAACCTACTAATGAAAATTATTTATAAATATTACTACCCACTAGATTTATTGGGAACAAAATATCTTTTCATAATGTAGTGTTACAGTTTTCGGACGGATTCAAGTGGAGAACAAATAATTTACTATTGCCCTTCTTTCTCACAAAGAATTTCATCATTCATTTCACCAATAAACTCGTCGAATTCGCTAAAATTCCAAACACAATCTGGTGTTTTTTCTTCCTCAAGTTTGGGCATCTCTGATAGTTTACACATGAGTGGTTTTTCTTGGAAAAACCTGTGCTGCAGTGCCTGAGATAAGAATTATCAGTTATTATCAGTTATATCATATATCTAAATATATGCTTTATGTAACAGACGAAATTTCTGCATGGATAGAGTGGCAGTTCAATTCAAAATGATGTGTAATTTGTGAAAGAAGGATAACATTTTTTTGGTGATATTCTACAACTTTTTCATGTCTCATTTCCTATTGATTTCGTTGAAATAATTCCTAATAGTTCCTAATACTGAAGTAACGCCAAAAACGCTATTAAATTATATAAAAAATACTAGCTGACCCGGCAAACGTTGTTTTGCCATAAACATTATTTCTAGAAAAAAATTTTTCGGATATAATAATATATTTATCAGAAAACTCTCATTATTTTATTTCTACTTCTTTTTAGTTTGTCAATCAATAAAAGCAGGATTCTTTAGTTTTTCAAACTATTCTATTTATTTTCTACTTCTTTTCAGTTCGGTACTCTATACCTCTTCATTTTTTTCAAATTACTCTTTATTTTCTACTCACTTCTTTTTAGATTGGCTATCTATAAAAAGGTGTTTCATTAGTTTTTCAAACTAATATTTCTCGTAATATTTATGACAATAGCTGATACCCGGCAAACGTTGTTTTGCTTTATACAATTATTTATAGAAAATATTTTTTTAGTTATCATCAACATACTTTTATTATTTTGTTTTCTAATTCTTCTCCGACCTCGAAAACACCCCAGATACATATTTTGAATAGAATCGGATCATAATTACAAAACTCAGTTGCCATATTGGATACTGCTCCATCTTTAATTTCCTAATTTTGATGAATAATCTCCGATCCCAAAATCCCCCAGATACAAATTAGGAATGGAATCAGATCATAGTTACAAAACTCGTTCGCCATATTAAATCTGCCATCGTGGATTTCCAAATTTTGATGAAAGAATCATTATCTCCAACTACGAAAACCCCCCGATACCAATTTTGCATAGAATCTGATCATAAATTAAAAAACTCGTCCGCCATATTGGATCCGCCATTTTGAATTTCCCCATTTTGACAAATGATTCATATCTCCGACCTCTAAAACCTCCATCAGATACTAATTTTGAATAGAATCTGACCATAATTACAAAACTCGTCCGCCATATTGGATCCGCCATTTTGAATTTCCAAATTTTGACGAACGAACCATAATCTCCGACCCCGAAAATCCTCAGATACCAATTTTGAATATAATTGGATCATAATTACAAAACTCGTCCGCCATATTGGATCCGCCATTATGAATTTCCTAATTTTGATAAAAAATCATATCTGACCTCGAAAACCACCAGACACCAGTTTTGAATGGAATCTGACCACAATTACAAAACTCGTCCGCCATATTGGATCCGCCATTTTGAATTTCCTACTTTTGATGAAGAAATCATAATCTCCGACCTCAAAACCCCCCAGTTACCAATTTTGAATGGAATCTGACCATAATTACAAAACTCGTCTGCCATATTGGATCTGCCATCTTGAATTTACAAAATTTGACAAAAGAATCATAATCTCCGACCCCGAAAACCCCCAAATACCAAGTTTGAATGAAATCGGATAACAATACTCGTCCGCCATATTGGATCCGCCATCTTGAATTTTCGATTTGAAAAATAGATTACGACCGATTCTCATACCTACCGAATACGCACAAAAAATTTCATAAGAATCGGTTGAGCCGTTTCGGAGGAGTTATTCGACCACTTACACCGTGGCCGGGACAGGAGAATATTGTATATATATTAGATTGAATTTGCTAATTTTGATGAAGAAATCATAATCTCCGACCTCGAAAACCACCAGATACCAAGTTTGAATGAAATCTGACCATAATTACGAAACTCGTCTGCCATATTGGATCCGCCATCTTGAATTTCCAAAATTTGACGAAAGAATCATAATCTCCGACCCCGAAAACCCCCCAACTACCAATTTTGAATGAAATCGGATAACAATACTCGTCCGCCATATTGGATCCGCCATCTTGAATTTTCGATTTGAAAAATAGATTACGACCGATTCTCATACCTACCGAATACGCACAAAAAATTTCATACCGTGACCGGGACGGGAGAATTTCATATATTAGATAGTATATAAAATTTGATACCTGTTTTGCAGTTAGCCTTTTACTTCCATCATAGATCAATATTTTACTGATCAAATCCAATGTGACTTCATCTGCATTTGGAATGACGATCCTCCAACTTTTTGGCTCACTTTCTGAAAAGGCTATCTTATTGTAATCAGGCAAATCCTTCAGCCCTGGCCAGTTCTCTTCATTGGCGGTTCCCAGCGTGCCCAAGACTATAGCCAATTGTTCAATATCTGTTTCCCCCTGAAAATGTTGAGAAATTATTCTTATACCCTAACAACACCAGTACATCCTAGGGACTTCCCAGGGACGTCCCTGATTTTATACTTGGACATCCCAGGGATGTCCTTTGTCGGGACAACGTACATACTAGGGATGTCCCAGGGACATCCGCTGGCCACAAAAAAAGGCATCCAAGGGATGTCCTTCTGGTACGTCCCTGGGATGTACCAAGTACGATGAAAGGATGTCCATAGGACGTCCCAAGGATATCCCAGGGACTTCCTTTCGACAAAAGAAAAACAGTTGCAGGTCGAGTAGGGATTGAACCCGGGACCTTTGGCTTATCATGCACACACCTTGTTCCATTGGCTATCATGCCTCCTGAAGATTTATGTACTAAACAGATTTATAAACAGGACTTGACTACAGAAACCTGAATTTTGGGTGTTTAAAAATGAGGGGCATTATGCATGTACGATTTCTGTATGCGAAAAATGGTAATTCCTTAAGAAGTTCTGAGACTTTATTCTTTATTTTCATTACAATCATTTTCCGGAAGAAAAACAAACATTTTCAAAAAAATTCAACTCAATAGTTTGATGAAATTCAATGACTCTGATGTGAATGGATATCAGATACTCCCACTGCAGGATATCCCCTGGATGTCCCAATCATGCTCTTGTACCGCGGGACAAAAAAGGGACGTACCTAGGACCCTGTGTTGTTAGGGTAGAAAACACACCAAAAATTAGGACATGATTGACTTACTTACTGGAAAAAGTGGATGTCTTTCGATCATCTCAGCGACTATACAACCGACTGACCATAAATCAACAGAAGGAGTGTATGTTTTGGATCCATAAAGAAGTTCTGGTGATCTGTACCACCTTGTAGCTACTTGGTGGGAATACAACCGCTGCTTGTTCTCAACATCATATATCCTGGCAAGACCAAAATCTGCAATTTTCAGAACTCCTTTTTTGCTTATCAGAAGATTGGCTGGCTTCAAGTCCTGAGCAGAGATATCATAAATATTAAATATCCAGTGATATATTGATGAAACTGAATATATGTAATTGAATCTACTTACTCTGTGCATTATATTATTTTGGTGTATATAGTGTACACCATTTAATATCATCTTAGTATAAGTTTTGATTTGAGGCAGGTGCAAAGAAATTTCAGATTTTTTGAGTACATCCATAAGAGACCATGGTAAATATTCCATTACCAAAACAACAGAGCTACCCACACAAGTCACTTCCAGTAATTTCACAATCTAAAAGTCGAAAATAGTCATTGATTTCTAGCGAATTAATTACTTACGTTCTTGAATTGCAGTACTCTGAGAGCAAGAATTTCTCTCATAACATTTTTGGGTATAGGCGCATTGGGATTAACTGCGATCTTCTTGAGTGCCACTACGGTCCGATCTCTCAGATCCATACCCTTGAACACGAAGCCATGAGCTCCTTCGCCTGCTCGTCCCAACAATTTATAATTTTTCATATTCAACTTTTGAAATTTCCACTAAAATTCAAATTTAAACAAGAAGACTATGTTGACAGTGACATCTACCGTTTCCGTTACCATGACAACACATATAGACATTAGTTGCGTTTTATTTATCCGATTCCGCCACGGGAATCAGTTTGATGTGTCGTTTTATTTGCAACTTTTCCGATTCCGGTTGCTACTTTCCATTCCGTCTCACTACAAGGAATGATGTGGAATGACTGTTGACAGGTGTCAAGAAATCAAATTAGATTGACCAAAAACGAACCTTTTTGAAAGAAAAAGACATTTAGAATACATTTTCAGCGTGAGTTTCACTAGTTCATGATTCTTTCAATTAAGACAGGTTTCATATGTTCATTCCCAGATAAAATAAACTCTGTCGATCTCAGAGAAGTTTCTTCAATCACCACAATCACTGCTCCAAATATTAGTTGATTCATTTTCTAGATTCTGAACTGTAGTATTATGCTTTTTGAATTATTTGGATCTCCCATATACAAATATGACATCTTATGTAAATTCTCTCAAGCAAGGTTATGAAGTTTCTCGTTTTATTTGTAAATGTCATTCTGTTCCCACCACCGCTACCAGAATGGAACAAATAAAACGCAACGGTTCTGTCATAAAAGATTCTGTGAGTTCTGTGATTTGCGTTTTGGCTGTGCAAGCAGTGTTGCCAACCGGTCTTCATCGATTCACTCTCAAATAAATTTGACAGTATCCACAAATTACTTACACCTTTAATAACATGACAGATTTCTCATGAAAAAATCTTTCGGAAAAATTGTTCGAAATCGATTTATGGATTTGTGTGACGTCACGCGACTCTACATACTACTATTAATCATTCCAGAATTACGTCATTTGACAGGTTGCTGAGGGGCAAACATTGTATTTTGTCAAGATTTGTCATATAAAATCAGAATTAGTGGGATCGTTTTCCTTGGAATCCGAGTTGGAACCAGAAAGAATTTCATAATTTTGTTTGGTGAAACTAAGGGTGAAACTGTTATTATATTGTGAATGTGGCAGGGATGGCCAGGGCTATGCTCATTAAAGGTAACCTAACAGATAGTTTGTGTGCCCCTCAAGAAACCATGTCAAAATCGCGTGTTCTGGAATGGTCAATAACTATACTCTCTAGACCGCTATATGTCATATCTCAGGTGGGTGACTGATCTCTGATCTCAGTAACCCGAAAATTTTGCCTAAAAACGCTCCTGTTCAATGTGCAGGAATTCCCAAAATGTCGAGTCATGTTTCTTGGTGTTCGGAAATATAAGTAATAGTGAGTGAGATATAAAAATAAAGCCCCTATTATTATTATTATTATTATATATGATCGACTGGTCCTAAATGCTGATTCATGTTCTCCAGTGCGATCTTGTCAGTGATATAGCATTTTTCCATATACCTCTTCTTTCTTGTGGCATTAGCGGTCCAGATAGTGGTATAGGTCAGTGTAAAATACCTCGCATGTTGCCAAACATCAGAAGCTGTGAAGAGAAATACCCAGAACAAATATTCAAATCGTAATATTTCAAATTGTTGACAGATGATTTACGGAATTATATATCAGTTTATCTAGTCTTTGATTCTTGAATCTTTAGTTTCTTGTGGTGACCTCCGAAAATTCATGGCATTTGCTCATAACGTCATTGCGAGTCTACATATATACTCGCACCAAAATGATCACGATGACTCTGGCGAATTGATAACTGCGAGCAATAGTTTTACTCGCAGTATACGTAGATGCGCCGTAGCACACCAAATTATGATTTCACCATGCAATAAACACATTTTATTCAAAATTCCTCACAGGTTATGAAATTACTCACAAATGTGACTAATTACTCACAAATCGGCAACCCTGCTTGCAAGATTGATGAACTATGACAGGTGGCCTCGTAACTACAGAAAAGGCGGAATCTCGTACTTTAATTGAAAATATTGACAGACAGACGTAAGACATACTGACAAGTGACAAATGGCAACTAACGGGCTTTGAGGATTGAGGAATTTTAAATTTGAATGTTTATTATTGTTTATGTTATTGAAGAAATCCAAAAATCTTGTATTCGTTATTTCAAAATTGGATAATAATGTCAGATGATAATCGATTAGCAGCAGACGAATACGAAAAGCAGTATTATGGATTCAGTTCTACAGAAATTATCGAAGATTGTAAGTCGAATATTGGCAAGACATAACCTGAACACAGTGTTAAATATCTTTTCTTTCAGTTAAAGAGCATGTAACTGGTGTGATAAAAAGAGCATTAATAGATGTAAAGAACGCGATATCAGAAGAAACGAATACTCCATATGATAAGGAATCTTTGGATACCATAATTCAAGAGTTATATGAAGCTTACTTGAATAGTGCCAGAAATCCTATTGAAAGTTTTGAAGTAAGGAATGGATTACTATAATCAGATCCCAGAATCACTTACTACCTATCAACCTATCTGAGATTCCATGAATATAATATTTATATGTGCTGAATGTATGTATTATTATTTTTATATTATTCTATCAGGCAGAAGCAAGAAACATATTTGCAATACCAAAAAATGTTATTCTTGAAGAAGACAAGCTGAGAAGAACTAATTATTCTGATGAAGATATCAATAAGTTGAAATGTGAAGTTGCAAAACTTGAGAATGATCTAATACAGGTGTGGTTGAATGTCTACAGTTTAAATCTGATATGTTGACCAGAACAATTTATTTCCAGGAAAAAGTTTATCTAGCCAAATGCATGCAGGTGAAAGAATACATTGAGAAAACAATAAAACCTATCTATGAAAAAGTGAACATGCACCTTTCAGTTGCAAAAAGAATGCCTAAACAGACTGATGAATCAGAGGAGGCTAATCAACAGAAAATCATACAAGTGCATGAGGCACATGTTCAAGGTTATTTCAATAGGATAAGGATCAGTGGAGAGCAATCTAGAAGTAGAGCTTTAACAGATTTCAAAACTTCTAATTTTTATTTTGACTGATGAAAGCTTCCAGAACAAAATGAAACATGACAAACTAATAGAAGTGTCCCCTTCTGTTGTTGATTTCAAGAGAAGAAATTGAACATTTACAAATAGTTTTATTTCACCTTTCTTGCAAACCTTGTAACATATAAGTAGGTAGGTATTACATTCAATATATTTCATTTAGAAATAAATCATAAGGTACTGAATCTGCTCATACTTAATCAGACTCCATTTCCAATTCTTGGATCTCCTCAGTCTCTAATTCTTTGTCCCAATCCTTCATTTTAGCTCCCATCATGAAATCATCTTGCAGTACACTCCAGGTAGATTCTTTTTCTACAGATTTTTTTTCTTTTTTCCTTTCTTCCACTGGGCCCTCAACTCTTTGTGATTTTTCTCCCATCAACACATCCAAGAATGCTCTCTTATCAATATTCTTCAGAACCTTTTCTTTCCTCACTTCCAAGGGGCCAGCTTCTTCTAGCTGTTTGCTGATATCTTTTTGCTGGGCTCTCACTGCATTGAACAGTTGGACTACCCCCTTGGTGGCTATTTTCTGCAGGATACGCTCCCTGTCTTTCTCTAATATGTCTGGCTTCACTCTCAAACTTGATATTTCTTTTTTCTGCAGAAATAACTCACAATGGAAATATGTTTTCATTGGGATAATGGGGTCTTACCTTTTTTCTTGGTGGTTCTTCAGAAGGTAGTTTAACTTCTTCAGTTTCTATTTTTTCTTCCCTAACATCTCCCTCTGTTGTCAATATTTCGAAACCTGCAGGTTTAGGTTGTACCTTCTTCACATCAGTGAGTTTTTTAGCCTTTGACAAGACTATTTTCTTGCCTTTCGGTTTTGACTTTAGGATCCTTGAAATTGCATCTGCCCAACCAGCATTTGCAAGTTCTGGGGATTCTTCATCTGAAGATTCATTATCAGCATTATCAGATTCCACATTGCTTCCTTCCTCTGAGTTTTCATCTTCGCACTCATCTTCTAAAATGAAATACTTATAATCTAATCAAATTAGGGTAGTTTTTCTATAAATTCCATACCATTATTAGATTCTTCCGATGACCTAAGCACATCAATTGCTGTCATTTTCGAAATTTTTCCTTTGGTTACACCAGATTGTTTTTTTTTGCGTTAAATTTACAATTCACTATTTGATTTTTCAAATTTGTTTCTCTTGCCACACGAAACGGTTTATAGGTTATCTACACATTCTTCTTCTTCTTCTGTATTTTTCCGAACAATTACTACCATCTTCAGCATGTTCGTCATTGTGTTCACCAATCACCATCGAACAAGACGCAGTGTTGCCAACTCAGATTTCCAAAAGTCACAAAATGGCCATCTGAACACCTACAAACCTTCGCGATAGAAAATAAGCGTACGCCACCTATCGGGGTTCTTGAAAGCTGTCAAAGTGGCCTGTTTACTTTGTTTTCATTGGTTATCATTTGTTTTTCGTTCGTGCTTATTGGTCAAATCATCAAAACAAACCGCTCAGAAGTGTTCAAATTGTTGCCGTCAGGTAGGGCGACGTGTTATTTTCCATCGCGAAATGCGAATCTAGTGATTTTCTAGTGGTTTTAACTTCAGTTCAGGTCACTAATCACTCAATCACACATTGAACTGAATATCAGTATATTCAGTTCAATGAGATTACATTACATCAGATAATAAGTCTGGCTGGTCAACGGATCTTATTGGCTTAACGAATGTGAGAAAAGTTTATTTTATTCAACAGAAAACAAAACGAACAAAATGGAATGTTACGCCTAAAACAGGAAAAATAAAAATTAACATTTGATATTCTACAAAAAACAGCCTAAATATGGATATAACCGTTAGAAAGAGATTTAAATTGAAACCAGTATTTCTCTGTAAACTCTTCTCTAGTTTTAGTAGTTTTACATCATTGAAATTAGATTTATTTCATAAAACAAGGGGAATTTTGGATGCAGGTCGTCAACCACCAGATTCCACCATTTATTCGAGAAAATTCACCAAAATATTAAATGAACACCATCCACTAGATGTCATATTTTGTGACAAAACGATAACTCAAACGAACTCAAACCAACAGGTCTAATGTGAAATCCACTAAGCTGGCAACACTGACAAGATGATAGGATGGGAAGAAGAAATGTCAAACTCGCTCTAACCTCAAATTTTTTGAAGATTGGGCTCTAATCCTCTGATCATTGCGTTTTCGAACAAAACGTTAATCATTGTTATTAAACGAAACTTTGGACATTTCTCGCGAACTCGCCGTCCATTCCTTGCGTCACGTCGTGCTGATTATTTTCGAAAGAATGTCTTCGGGTCGCAAATGCAAGAACTGCGGTGGTTCGGACATCGAAGTGGACCCCGCCAGGGGCGATGCGGTGTGCACGACGTGCGGTTCGGTCCTCGAGGACAGCATCATCGTCGCGGAGGTGCAGTTCGAAGATGGGGCCCACGGGTCGTCGAGTGCTATCGGACAGTTCGTGTCTGCGGATTCCAAGGGGGGCGCCACCAAGTTCGGAGCATGTAAGTTGATTGTTCACACAATTTTGGGAATATAGATTCAACTGAACTAACAAAACTGATGCTGGGTTAATAGATTCAATTAAACTAATTATTAGGAATTAACAATCAACAATTAAAACTCATGAAGGTGTTTATACATAGGTATCTGATATTAATCAAGAACTAGATGTGAAATGTCTTCTGATTAAAGATCAAAATGATATTAAAAGGTGATTTTGGTTTCCACAACTCATGAATCCATATAAAATACTCTAAACTCTAATTATATATTACCAAACTCCACTTGAACAATAAAAAATCCTATCTTCATGTTCTGTCTCTATAATTTCCTAATTTTTAGTTGTTAAGTTGAAAGTTGGCCAACTTTGTAATTCTTAATACTTAATTCAAGTGACAGATGTAAATGTATAAACCCTCATATATGTTTCCTTGTATTCAACTTTTTAAGTTCATAGTTGTTAGTTCAATTCTTAGTTTAGGTTTAGTTGAATCTATAAACCCAGCATGAATCTCACTTCCTACCATAACAAATCCAATTTTCTTCATGTACTACCTGTTCTCTGTCATATCTTTCTTATATCAAGAAGTTGACCAACTTTGTAAGTTTCAATTCTTAATTTAAACATAGATTAACGACTCCCCATTTAAATGATACAAGAGACATACTGACATTGAAATTGACCATCATGCCAATATTAGTATTCTTAATCAATGACATTTTTCATCAAGGTATTTATCCGGAAATACTCAAAATTGGTAGTTATTCCATTACATAAATCAAGTTCAAGCACAGTAATTGACAACTATAGGACTATTACAATGGTATCATGTGTATCAAAACTAATTGAAAAAATTGCAGTGTCAAAATAGATTTTTAAATTAAATATATTTCATACTGACAGTTTTCATAGATTTGTGGAAGGCTTCTGATGTAGTCAATCATGAAATACTTCTGAATAAAATAGAAAACATGGGTATCAGAGGGAATCTGCTCGAGACTACTCACACTACTCACAACTTATTTACTAAATAGAAAACTATATGTTAGTCTAGGAAACATATGCAGTGAGACTCAAGAAACTAATTATGGAGTGCCTCAAGGATGGGTTTTGGGTCCCTACTTATATAGACTACTTGTGAGAAGTCTAGAAAAAGCACAACTGAATGCAAAATACTTAACTTTTGCAGATGATACAAGTCTGGTCTATACAAGTACAGATCTCAGCTCGGATCTCAGAGAACTGGAAGTAAGGGTAAACAATGATTTTGAGAAATATACAAATATACAAATAAAAATAGGGAATGAAATCATAAATAGAGTGGACAGTACAAAATATTTGGGATTATTCTTGGATGAAAACATGAACTGGAGTGTACAGTCGTCTTCAGAGATCATGTCGCGGTTGGACGGTGTCAGCGCTCTGATTGCAGAAATTATTGAGAATGCTATCATCGTCCATGTGCGACATGTTTTCTGAAGACGATTGTACATGTTCAGACCGGTGTGAAGCCAGCAAGACGTCCGTGCCAGCAAGAAAAAAGATCGAGGAAAGCAGGCCGGGCAGAATAAATACGTGGAATATTAGGAATTTATTCTAAATTGGCATTATTGAAAGTTCGGAATTTCAATCAGGAAGAAAATAATTTTCAATTTTCATTGCTGTGTAGAAATCTGTTATTTTGAAAAGAAGAAATGAAGAGATTCATCATGTCTACTGATTTTGTCGCATCCAGTTCACCCCTATTTCACCCCGATATTAGCTGTCATTTTCATGTAGAAAAAATGTCTTGCTATGGATTTTTTTATCATAAAACACGTAACGCAGACGAAAGAAGAGATTCATCATGTCTACTGATTTTGTCGCATCCATTTCACCCCGATAATGTCTAATAAATCAGAAATCTCTCATTTTGAAAATGAAAAAATGTCTTGCTATGGATTTTCTTTATCAAAAAACACGTGACGTAGACGAAAGAAGAGATTCATCATGTCTACTAATTTTGTCGCATCCATTTCACCCCTATTTCACTCCGATATTGGCTAAAAATTCAGAAATCTGTCATTTTAAAAATGAAAAAATGTCTTATATATGGATTTTTTTGTCGAAAAACATGTAACGTGGACGAAAGAAGAAAATCACTATGTCTACTAATTTTGTCACATCCATGTCACCCCTATTTCACCCCAGGAATCTGTCAATTTGAAAATGAAAAAATGTCTTGCTATTGATTTTTTTTTGTCAAAATACGTAGACGCATGAAGAGATTCATCAGGTCTACTAATTTTGTCGCATCCATTTCACATTTCACCGCCATTTCACCCCGATGATGTCTGAAAATCAGCAATCTGTCATTTTGAAAATGAAAAATGTCTTGCTGTGGATTTTTTTTTTGTCGAAAATCACATAACGTTGACGAAAGAAGAGAATCATTATGTCTACTGCGAGGTCTACTGATTTTGTCGCATCCATTCCACCCCTATTTCACCCCGATATTGGCTAAACATTCAGAGATCTGTCAATTTCATAAAGAAAAAATGACTTGCTAGACATCATTTTCCATTATACTGACGTTTATATACAGTATGATGCAAATGTATGGAATAAATTCAATTCAAAACAAGACGACTTCCGAAAAAAATCCAAAAACTAGAGTTCAGAACTTTTTCTATTGTGTATTTTTTCAACTAGACGACCGAGTAGACGACCCTTCGATGTTCAATTCTCAGTAGCAGACCTATGCAATCCATTTTAATTGCAATATTCTTATTCAAAATTTTGACTGCTGTTGGATAGACGATCAGTAGACCTTTCAAACGAGGTGTCACATGACCCCTGCTTGTATTTGAAAAAATCGTCCATTACGTCATTACTTCTACACCAGTGACGTAACATCTCTCATATGAATGTCATGAGATGAGGCTTCAAAAATTAAAACTCACGTGTTTTTGGAATTTCTTCAAATGTCGCCCATTTCTGAAATAATGAATTTATTCCATACATTTGCATCATTCTGTATATATACACTGTATATAATAATAATAATAATAATAATAATAATAAATCGTCTTTATTTTCTTACAAAATAGGCGAAAGTTTAGCCTAGGGCTACTCTTACACTCAACCTAGATTGTAGAGAATTAGAAAATATAATCAACAACTGCATTCATCAAGACAAAAAAAACATATCATGATCATAACAATGCTATGGTATTATTTTAAACAACAAAAAAATAAAAAAACATCTCAACAGTGCAATGGCATTTTATCATTTTATCATAATATCATTGATTAAATACAACAATGAATCAAGGATCTTAATAAGAAAAAAATCATATTATATAAACATATCATATCGAGGAATTTCTCATTTAGGATTAGTATGGACCTTCAAAAAATTTGGCTCTCAATATTTTCTTCACTTTATACTCCGATAAGTGAGTGTGATGGATACAAGAGTCTCAGGATCAGGTTCCTCTGCTGTCCGAACACGCCCGATCGCCAAGCGCTAGGGAGGGAGACGGTCTCCCCACCGGCCTACCGTTTGGCAATATGGCGATAGCCCGACGGGCGACGGGCGATCGGAGACGTTAACAGGCTTTTTATGAGTGCGTTCATTCACGGCCGGTCTATTTGAATTGTACAGGGTGGGCCACCAACAGTTTTGTTGACCATATTCCACATTTTAACCATAATTTTTTTCCGAATCAATTAGAACTATTTGTGCATGTGCATCAACTGATATACTGCGACCTACCAGATAATGTAAGGGCTGATTGAATTGCAATACTTCGTTACATACAGGGTATGTCACGACGAGCCCTAC